TTCCGTTCCCGGGCCGGGGCGGGGGGGGCCCTGGGGGGTGCAAACCGTTGGCCGGCCCAAAAAAAAAAAAAAAAGGGAAAAAAAAAAAAAAAAAAAAGAAAACATAGGTAAGTGGAAGAAGGAAAAACAAGAGGGATCAAAACATTTTGAGAAGAGATAACCTAAGGGAGCTTTGGGATTAAAATCATTAGTAGCATTTGCTGAGTACCCTATGTCAAAAATCCATGTGGGAACTCTATAAGAAATAGTATGATAATAGCAACTATGTTTTTTTTTTTTCCTTTTTGTCTTTTTTCGTGTCCGGCAATGGATCGCAACCCTCAGTGTCGCGCCCGGCCCCAATAGCAACTATGTTTTGAGTGACCATTACATGCTGCCTGTTTTATGTGTGTTTTTTCTTTATTCCTAACAACAATCTTCCAAGGCAGGTGTTATTAAGCCAATTACAATATGTGTCTCTAGACAGCAAGGCCTCAGTCTTGTTGGATCTTAACGTTTATATACAAGTACTAATTGAAGCATACTTGTAAAACATACCCTAGGCCTGGACATAGAAGTTCATGGTCATTGCAGAGTTGTGAAGGAACCTTGAGGTTGTCATCCACAGCCAGTGTGATGAGTGACGGAGAAATGTTATGTGGTCAGCCAAACGAAGGACATTGTTTCAGTTACTGTGCTAGGGAAAACGGCCAAACCAAAGAGCGAGAGAGAACTGATGGGCAAGGCAAAGGGCAGGGGAGCAACAAAAGCTTCCTGCAGCTGGAGTTAGGGATGCAGATGAAACGTGGACTAAGCCAAGTGCAGTTGGAAAAGAGCTGCTGTAGGAGGCTGCGTCTACCTGGGAAAGTGCTCCATCAGCAACTCTGCCCTCTCTCCCATTGCTGCATCACTTTCTAAAGTGACAGTCACGACGCTGCAGGATTCGGAACTGGAAATGGTCTTTGCTCATTGGATGACAGTCTAAATTCAGACCGAAAGAATGTGGTTGGAGACAGCTGGTGGAAATGGTCCCAGTCCCGTCTTTCGGTGGAAATGTCCACGTGCTGCTCGTCTCTCTCCTTATCAAGCGTCTCCCTGTCTCCACCTCTCTCTTTCTGCCTGTCTCTTTCTCCCATCAGTTTTTTAAAATTTTTTTATTAAGTAACCAACCCGGCGCATTGTACCAAGCGGTTGAGGAACGCCTCTGCGTAACCCAGCGATGCTGGCTGCCTCGGTGATTAATGCGAACTACTCGGGTGGTTTATGAGAAGTGACACTTCCTCCCCAGCTTCTTCTATTGCCACCGAGCAGTTAACAGTAAAGCCTGCTCTGTACCACCGCGGATGTGACTGCTGTAAATATCACGGGGCAGGGCTCTCGGGCTTCAGAATCACGTAAGCAAGACGCGCTGAGCCAGCCCCAGCCCCGGACGCCCAATGACCCCAGACTGCGGCAAGGGCTGTGGGAGTGGAAGGAGGGGAGGCCCACGTCGCTCTCCTTCCAACTCGCCCGGGCCGAGCACGCCTTCCACCCCGGGGGGAGGGGCAGGGGAAGGTCGCCCCAGGTCGTCGGCACCTCCAGCACCCTCGAATTCTGCAAATTCATCGCTCCCTTTCATCTGCCGGCGAAATCCTCCGTCCGGAGCGGGGCCAGCCCCAGTTCTCCCCCGGCAGCCTTTAGCTGACTACGGAGGCGGATCGACTTCTTCCCGTGAAAAGGCTTTGATTCGCTTTCCCGCCGCAGGGGTTCAGTCTCTGCTTTCGACTTCGCTTCTCACTCGCACGCCCCGCAGTCTGGAGCTGCGCTCAAGTCTCGGCAACTTTCACCATCTTGACCCGAGTCGGGCCATTTCTAAGACAATGTGAACAAAGAGCAGCCGGGGAGAGAGGGGGCGGCGGGCGTGCGTGCGTGTGGCCGGGGTCGCGGCGCTCGG